TGAGATTTGGGGAATCAGAGAAGGGACTTCTAGGCAAGGCCCAGGTCAGCTCTGAGATTTGGGGAATCAGAGAAGGGACTTCTAGGCAAGGCCCAAGGGCCCAAGCCAGCTAAAGGACAGTAGGAGATCCAGCCTTTGGGAAATGGGTTTGAGACAGAAGTGTGTGTGCGTCTTCACCTGTTCTTCTCTTCCATAATCCAGCTGTCTTTCTCCAATTTCTCTTTTTCCGATTCAAGGCTAGCCCTCGAGCCCTAGCCCTGATCCAAGCCCCAAATCAGCAGACACCTTCTCTAAGCCACACAGGCAGCAAACAGGCCTTCGCTTCTACCCGTTTGGAGCCAGGGGACACTGGGTTGGGTACTTACATTCTCGTCCACTCTCCTTCCCTTCACTGGAATGTCCTGTCAGATTTCAGGTCTCCAGTCCTCACGTGGTCTCCTCTCCACACTGACGTTTGTAGGCTTATTTCTTCCTTTGGTCTCTTTATTCCCAGCATTAAATCATCAGGCTCAGAACTGTGAGTCACAGAGTCAATGTCTCTGGACTGTAGGTCTCATGTGGCTGTTGAGGGGAGCACGGGTCCTGCCGGTCTGCTCAGGTCTTCATCCCTGGCCTTGGGGCCTAAAGCCCTTCTTCTCCAAGGGTCCTTCCATAGCCTCGATATTTCGCTCAGGGCCTGTGGGCCTGCCGGCTGTAGTCCATGCAAGAGGCTGAACCTGGGGGCATCACGTGTCTACCGCAGTACCAAGGCTTCCGGCTCCCTCCCGTGGAGGTGCTCCTGAATCTGTGGGTGCCGCCCAAGACAGTGACATCAAAGGTCTCCTCCCTGGACTACTAATGACCAGATGCCCCACTGGGAGAGGCCTCCCCTCCCCCTGCCCCTGCCACAGACAGTGGGCTCTTCTGCTGGGTGACCTTTGGTCTCCTGGGAGCAGATGAGCCCTGAGAGTGTGGGCACAGTCTTAGCCCACCCCCTTTATCTAAGGCCAGTTCTGAACTTCTGCCTTATTCTCTTTCTGGCCTCTGTCTCCTCCCACAGGACACATGGAACCTGGAGTCAGCCAAAGCCTTAGCCACTCTATCACAGTGGTGGGACAGAGCGTGGCTGAGGTGTGACCGCGTCTCTGGTCACGTGTACTTCTTCCAGTATCGATAGTCCCCAGAAAGGGGAATGCAGTTACTGATTTCCATCCATGACAAGGTTCCTTCAGAGAAGGCAGAGTTTTTGGGGAATCCATTCTCAGCTGAGATGCCTGCCTCACAGACCATACTCTCTCTGAAGCCCCAGGTTGCGCAGCTGGGGGACTCAGCCACAGCCTTGGAGGGATGCTTCCTGCCCTTGCACAAATTCGAGGCTTCTCTGCTCCAATCAGTAGTCCTTCCTGCCCAAGGGGGTGGGGCTGCAGCAGCTTCCCATGAGCAGAGGTCAGAAGTTAACTGTTTTGGGTTTTTTTTGTTTTTTTTTTAGGTAGGCTCCTCTCCCAGTGTAGAGCCCAATACGGGGCTTGAACTCACAACCCTGAGACCAAGACCTGAGCTGAGGGAGCCTAGATGGCCCAGTTCAACTCTTGATTTGGCTCAGGTCATGATCTTGGGGCTGTGAGATCAAATCCCACGTCAGGCTCCTTGCCCGCTGGGGAGTCTGCCTGCTTGAGATTCTCTCTCTCCCCCTCTCAAATAAATAAATAAAATCTTAAAAAAAAAAACGAAAACACAAAGACCTGAGCTGAGATCAAGAGCCCAATGCTCAACTGACTGAATCACCCAGGCACCCCAGAAGTTAACTTTAATTTGCAGAATAGGAAGTGTTGCATAGGGGTATCTGGACTGTGGTATTGAGGAAACATTGTTGGACACCACGGAATGTGGCTATGGCCCCCAAGGATGGGACAAGTACGGCCAAGTGAGTGACCAGACAAGCCTACAGAGGAACCTGTGAAGGACTGACTTTTCAGGAGATAAGACCCAAGGGTCCTTGAACAATCAGCTGAAGGGATGATGTAGGGAGCACTTTATGAGGGAGATACTATATTTCTTATTAATAAGGCAGGTAGACTTCAAGTGTTCAATTAGAAAGACAAATTAGAATCATTGTTCGAGGCTAGTTGAGTATATCATATTGGTTATACACCTACTTATTCATCCATTTACTAATTCATTCATTTTCTCTTTGAACAGACGATATCCTACCCCAAGATATGGAAAGTATGGTTAGTGCACCGCATGGACCCCGTCGGTATCAGAGGAAGAATCAGTCCCAGGGTCAGCCTGCCCTAGTCAGGAGTCAGCCTGCCATGATCAGAGAACTCTCCTTCATGCCAGGAAGTGGCTGAGCCCTCTCAAAAGTGTGTGCTGGGGCTGCTAAGACAGAAACACCACGGAGAGAACATGCAAAATGCAGAGAAGATGTACATTCTCCTATTTTTAGGGTGCCCATGATTTATCACCCAAAGGGGAGCCCTTGGGGAGAGAAGGGGTGCTGTTATACTTGAGCAACAGACGTAAAGTGGGACATATGTTTACCCAGCCTGTGTCTCATCCCTGGGACTCATCTCAGGGGCCTGAGCAGGAAAAGGATTTAATCTTGGGGAAAGAGCTGTAGGAGGGGAACAAGAGGAATGGTGCTGGGAGCAGTGGCTGTGGTGGCCCAGGGGGGTCTTGCTGGGGGGGTTTCCCTGCAAGGACGGCCCTGAGAACACCGTCCCTTAGTCCCCTGACAACACCATCCCTTAGTCCCGAGGAACCTCTAAGGGCTGAGCACCCTGGCGCCAGTGAGCACGCCCTGCACCGGTGGACACCAGGATGGTATATTGTGGCAAGCGGCCCTTCACTCCTCCAATCCTGACCCCTGGAAACAGCAGACAAAACCCATTTTCCTGGTGGCTGGGAGGAAATACAGGTCCCTGGTGCAATCCAGCAGATGGGAATCTCCGGGAGTCCACCCTGATTGGGTTCAGCCTAAGGTGGAGGATGATTCCGGAACAATAGACGACCCTGGGGCTCCCTAGGGACATACAGGGACTCGAGCCATGGTGCAAGGCTGCAATTTACTGTTCATATGTTAGGGCCCAGAATTAGTACCTTTCGGATATCCACAAATATTTGATCTTCTTTTGTAAGGTCAATTTAGGAAGCTCTGTGAATATCTGATAACATGTATATTTCATAAGTAATTTTAGAAAGAATTCTGTCTGGGTGGATACAAAAATATTAATGGTTGTTGACTCTGGATAGCGGGATACATTTTTTTATTACATGAAGTGAAGTGGATAATAATAAATGTAAATTACATACATTCTGTCAAATGGAAAAACTAGCAACACCACCCCAGTCAAGATACAGATACGTCATCACCTCCTGGTGTTAAGTCCCCTTCTGATCAATACCCATCCCCCTGGGTAATCAATGCTCTGATGTCTATCATCAGAGATTAGATTTGCTTGTTCTTGAATTCCATGTAAATGGAATCATACACTTTTTTGTGACCAGCATCTTTCACCTAACAAACATATGCTTTTGTTAATCATCCTTATTATTATGTGTATAAGTAATTTGCTTTTTTTTTATTTGTTGTATTTTTTTATTGGGTGACTCTACTACACTTTGCATATCTATTTACATGTTGATGGACACTTAGGTTGTTTCTAGATTTGGGTTATTACGAATAGAGCTTCAAGAAGCAGCATTCTGGTACAAGACTTTGGTGTGGACATATACTTTTTTTTTAAATTTTATTTTGTTATGTTATGTTAGTCACCATACAAATTAGTTTTTGATATAGTGTTCCATGCTTCATTGTTTTCGTATAACACCCAGTGCTCCATGCAGTACGTGCCCTCCTTAATACCCATCACCAGGCTAATCCCTCCCCACCCAACACCCTCCAGTTTGTTTCTCAGAGTCCATAGTCTCTCATGGTTCATCTCTCTCTCTGATTTCTCCCCCTTCATTTTTCCCTTCTGTCTCCTAATGTCCTCCAAGCTATTCCTTATGTTCCACAAATAAGTGAAACCACATGATAACTGACTTTCTCTGCTTGACTTATTTCACGTAGCATAATCTCCTCCAGTCCCATCCATGTTGATGTAAAAGTTGGGTATTCATCCTTTCTGCTGGCTGAGTAATATTCCATTGTATATATGGACCACATCTTCTTTATCCATTCATCTGTTGAAGGGCATCTTGGCTCTTTCCACAGTTTGGCTATTGTGGACATTGCTGTTATGAACATTGGGGTGCATATGGCCCTTCTTCTCACTACATCAGTATACTTTTATTTCTCTTAGGTAAATAGTCATGGGATTGCTGGGTTGGATGGTAAACACTCATTTCACTTTATAAAGAGTGCCACACTCTTTTCCCACATGGTGACACCCTTTAGCCTTCTCATAGGAAATATGAGTTCCAGTTGTTTCACTCGTTTGTGCTGGGAAAAAAAGTAGAATGTGGGGCAGGGAAATCAATATGGTGGTTCAAAGGAGTTGGGGCCAGTATTGCCCTCAGCTGGGAAGTACCACACAGGAACCGTGGAGGGCTCCAGGGACAATGAGGATAAGATATTCAGGGAATTTCTGGAAACTTTCTTGTAATAGCTGACAATGTAAACACTTCCAGTTTATTAAGAGGAGACATTGTGCTTCCAGTGAGACACAGAGGCTGCAGGAAGGGGCAGAAAGGGCTGGGGGTTACATGGAGAGGGGGTTAGAAAGGCTTTATAATTGCATCAGGCAGATTGATTACTGATCTTTAGGCCACTACAAGAATACTGGTGTTAAAAAAACAAAATCAGCCAAGTGAATTTGAAGATCTAATTGGCTTTATTAAGCAATTTATGAATGGTGTAGTATCCCATCTAGCAAGTAGAGAGATGCTCCAAGGAGTTGTACAAAATGTAAGGTTGTTATAGAAGGAAGCATGGGGTGAGGAAGTTATCAGCAAAAGAAAGGAAAGCAGTATCTGCCCAGGATACCTTTTTTTTTTTTTTAATTTTAATTCCAGGGTAGTTAGTATAGTGTTATATTCGTTTCAGGTGCACAATATAGTGATTCAAAAGTTCTATCCATTTCTCAGTGCTCATCAAGGTAAGTGGACTCCTAATCCCCTTCACCTATTTCACCCATCCCCTCACCTACCTCCCCTCTGGCAACCATCTATTTGTTCTCTATAGTTAAGAGTCTGTTTCTTGCTTTGTCTTTCTCTCTCTCTCTCTTTTTCCCCCTTTGCTCATTTGTTTTGTTTCTTAAATTCCACATATGAGTGAGATCATATGGCATTTGCCTTTCTCTGACTGGCTTATTTTGCTTAGCATCATACATTCTAGATCCATACATGTTGTTGCAAATGGCAAGATTTCATTCTGTTTTATGGCTGAGTGATATTCCATTGTATACATATCATATCTTCTTTACCCACTCATCTATCGATGGATAGACACTTGGGCTGCTTCCATAGTTTTGCTATTGTAAATAATGCTGCAATAATCATAGGGGTGCATGTATCCCTTTGAATTAGTGTTAGTGTTCTGCACAGCAAAGGAAACAACCAACAAAACTAAAAGGCAACTTACTGAATGAAAGAAGATATTTGCAAATGACATACCTGATAAAAGACTAGTATCCAAAATATATAAAGAACTTATACAACTCAACACCAAAACAAAACACAACAAAACAAATAATCCAATTAAAACATGGGCAGAAGACAGGACACCTTCTTTGGGGGGCAAGGGAAAGCAGGGTTTTTATCATGCAGATGACCTCCCTCATGGGGATCAGGACATTTCAGAGACTGTTAAAGGGCACATTCCTGGGAGATGTTGAAACTTTAGTTAAGTCTTGGTTTGCTGTTCGGGGATAAATGACTCCATTTTGGGCTTGTTCCTCTTTTTAAGATTAATATGGCTTTCTGTAGGAGGTGGGAAGTCCCTCAAAACTGGAAAGAAAAGTAGACAGTGAGTAAGTTTGAAGGAGCCTACTGGATTCCCAGGGGAAGCATATACAGAGGAGTTACCCTCAAAGAAACATTAGAGAAACTAGGGTGTGAGTCTTTTCCCTGGACCAGTTCCACTGAGCAATGCCCTACTGTAGAAAAAAGAAAGAAAGGAAGAATGACTGATTTTGAGCCAAATAAGAGGGGATTCTGGGCTTTAAAAACCTG